TAGTCTTTCTTTCAGTTGCTTCTGCTTGTCATCCATCATTCTTTTTAAGTTATCTTCAATAATTTTATCCTTCTTGCTCACCTGCTTGGCTTTGGTTGGTGCTTTAGGTTTGTCGACCGTCTTCTTTGTATTTTGATGTTTGTTGGCTGAATTGGTTACAATTGCCTTTACTGCTGTACGTCCTTCTAAACTCATGCCATATATGGTCTGGTATCGTGCATAAGCATTTCTGGAATTTTGAGCATATCTCTTATTTGTTTCATACTGGGACTCCTTGTCCTTAGCTGCATCATCAGGAATTCGTTCATATTCATCTGTCAATGGTTTTAGATTCTGCCAGTGCTGGCTTTTAAGAAGATATTCATCATCACTCCAATCTTGACATGCACTAATAGTGCGAGCAAATTTACTACTAAGATCACCACAAAACAATTCAGATAATTTACATGATGATTGCAAAAGCTTTTTCGTACCAAAATGGGTAGGAAGCATTGACACGGTTTTCTCCACAGTGTGTCCTGAACATGTTCCTTCACAGAAATGTTCAAAAGGATATGCCTGTAAGTTCTGTACATCAGTCAGTTTTTTGACAAGTGAAACAAACTCTTCATATCGGCTAGCAACAATGTTCCCTAATTCGCCACTTTGGAGACTTCCAGCCTCTGCAATGCCATGGAAAACAGCCTTCACAAAAGTACCTTGCCAAAGGTCTCCTACGAATCTGAAGTCGACAGATGATAATTTATCCGCATCAGTTGGTAGGTTAGAAATAATATTTGCCATTTCACCCTGAAAATCATGTAGGATTTGAGCTACTCTAGGAGGCAGATCTGGCAAATTCTTGAAGCACCTCATCTTTAAAGGCAAGTGTTCTTGAAATGCTAATGACAGAAGCACAATTTTGGTGACACTGATAACATCACTGCTTGGGTTTTTCTTGAGAAGCGAAGATGCTGCTAAAATGATTATGGAGCTCTTGACATCCTTCTCTGGCAATTCTTTAAAAGCCTGGGCTTGGCTTACTTCTGGCATCATGTTCTCAACTGCCTTTATATCTTTGGAGACCTTCTCTTCAAATTGACCAAGATTGTTAAAATGCACATGGACTGTTGCCATAAGACATGCACTTGATGAGACGACAGAACCAATATCAACAACATCAAGGCATATAAACTCACAATGAGCTGATTGAGCACTCATCACAAACTGCAACCATTTTGATGATGTTTTCTCATCTTCTACTTTTGATGACTGAATAAAATGAGGAAGTCTAGTAGACATCATGAGGAATCCTGGTCTTTGTTGGGCTAGATATTGCTTGAATTCTTCAGACCATAAGGAATTTGTGCTAATAACATCAAATTTCTTCTGATTGTGTAAAAGGTGCAACTTTACAGCATTTCTAGCCATGGTTAGTTGTGGAAACCCGGTCCAAGCCTTATCCCAAATCTGAAATTAGAAGTATAAATATTTATGCAGTTAGTTTGTCTCAAACAAAAAAGTTCAGAATGGGGAAGTGCTTACCTTGAAAAATACAACTACAAAGTTTAATGCTCTACTTATAAAAGTTTGGAGAAAGTTTTCAACAATGTAAATCACATGTAAAGTTTGACCACCAAGCTCCATTGAAAGACCTTTGGAGTCGAGAGCATGCATGAGCAGGCTGTCCCCATCAATGATAAATTTTCGTCCTTCAACAATCTGAGGTGATATGTCTTGGAACCGAGCTTTATCAAATGAAGTGAATTTTTGCAGTTTCTTGACCACCAAATTTAATTCTGTATCTCCTGGGGATTCCAAAACCTCTTCAAGCTGAAAGAAAGAAACCAAAATTTTATATTTTACATAATCAGGAAAGTGGAACACACTGTCTAGTAATACATATGTAACATGTAAACAGCTTGTCTAAGGTAGGAGACTTCAGAGACATTATAGTACAAACCTGTTCAACTTCATCTTCAAATGCCTTCTCAAGCCTTTCATCTGCCTCATCTATTTTTCCTGCAGAGTATAAAATTATGAGTAATAAAACAATAGTTTAAATACTCACTGAAGAGACAAGTGCAGGTTGGTAGAAAAGAGAACAGGAGAAAATTTATATCCTACCTTGCTGTAAAGCTACATTGAGGTCCCTGGTTGAGACTCCTTCATCCTCACTCTCACTGCTTATTAATTCATCTAACTCAACAGTATTCGTATTATCTACATCTGAAACCTAGAAAAAAAGCCATTGGTTAAAATGGGAAAATACAAAAACTATTTCAGCGAATGAATTTGGTGTGCCAACAAATTTGAATGCTCACCACTTTCTTTGGATCTTGGAACCCAACTTCTTTTTTAGGTGGCATTTTCTGTAACAATATTAAAATAAACAAAGTAAACACCACCAATCGAAAGATAAACTAGATGGGAAGAAAATGACAAAATGACAGTGCAATCTCTAACCTAAAATATATGAATAAAATGTATGGTACGGTTAACCCATTTGTATTTTTAACATAGTTTTTTAGCGGATCATACACAATTTCTAGTTAATGTTGGGAAACACAGGTGTTGGTTCATACTTTAATAAATCCTGGGTACAAGACTACCAGGGAACACAGATTGGAACCGAGGATGATGAGATACTAAAATGAGTCCTTTAAACATTTTGAACGTAACGTTAAATTATAGAAGTCTGTACGGGGAGTATGCCTGATATCATCAACTGTAACTCCAAAGAGAAAGTAAAAGAAAGGGAAGAGACGGCCTACAAGCGGGGCGATACCCTTTCACATCTTGCCCACGTAGCAACAAGCAGTAAGTACTCACATGCAAATTAAGAGAGCACTTCTACGCGATTTGACATGAATGAAGGCTGTCGATGGACACCAGAAGGACCGGATGAGTGTTGGGGGTCAACCTCCTCGCGTCTTCGGTTCGATGAATGAAGGCGGAACGATGAACAACGATGCAAGATGACAACCAGAGCAGCTCGTGGCCGCACTGCACTGTCCACTGTCTGTCTGTCCTGCCGCCGACACAGACACGGGCACGGGCTGCGGACGAAACGACGACGACGGAGTGCAAAAGCTCTGCCATTGGTCGGGGGAGTCCTGCGGGAGGGGAGGGGGAGGGTGGGAAGCTCCGTCGTCGGCTCCATAGTCTAATGTGTTATTTCACACGGTTCGCGAACTATTGCGGGGTGAATGGGCAAGTTTCATTTTAGCGGTATATTTGAGTTCCTCGAAGGCATCATCTGTGTGTTGGGCGAAGTAATTTGTCTCGTAGTAAAGCTTTGGCGTCGGTTGTCCTCTTTGCTCTCAGGTATAGGAAAGGGGAGGGAGGGAAAGGGAGAGGACTGCTTTAAGAACTTAGCTTTAACTGGTGATCTTAGCACCACACATCGACGCGTTCCAACAATAATGTCCTACCTACGGAGAGTCGTTTTCAAAAGGGCCTTTCTACAAAGGGTCGTTATTTTCACAATGTTATCTGGTATGGATTTCTGAAGCAGATAGAACATTGCAAAAGGACGCTTTGTAGATAGGACATTTTGAAAATGACACTCTGTAGATAGAACATTGTTGTTCGGACGCGTCGACATTGATTCTTTCTCAGTCTGCCCCAAGGTATTCCATGTTTAGGAGTAACAGGCTTGCCTTATCGCTTTGTTTCATCTTCGCCAGATAACAATTAAGTGGGGGAATTCCTAGAGAATGTACCTTTCAATTTTCGCGAGATTTTCGAAAATTGAAACTCAAGATCTTGAGTTACTTAAATTAAATGTGTTTCAGGTACAGAAAAGTTCTTCTTCAATCTATTTTTGGTATAGAAAATTATGTAATTGAACACATATGTATGTCCATCCTTGTTCATCACATGTCTACTAGCACTCAAAGTGTTAAATAGCTCAAGTCCATTTGAAAACTTCTCAAACCTAGGTAGAATGAGAATTCCTAAACAGCTTGCAGATCGCATTTTATTACTTTTGAGACATAGCCTTAAGGTTTGAAAATTTTTTATCTTAACAAAAAGTTATTAAGGATTGACATATGAGCTCTTTTTAGTATGGTCTATTGTGACCTAATGCACATCCTTGGTGAGAAATTTTCTCCATCAAGGTTTATCTCATCGATCATCCTCAGTTAAGATAAGCAAAAACATTTACATATTTGCAAACATTTCAAGAAAACAACTTTGATAAGTATACCGCTGGATTTTTAAAATGTTTTGATTGTGATTTTCAGTTCATGAAGCTTGTCTTAGCTAATGAACAAAGCACCCAAGATACAGCTTCACAAACAAACTTTAATAATGAGATCTCAAAAAGATAACCAACTGTTTCACTCTCCTTGTTTTTCTTCAAGATGTCTCGCAGTCCTTTGTTGCTCATTAAAAATCTCAATTAATTGTTGTGTTGCTGATTTTGGGACAAACACTGGCTCAGAGAGCTCCTCCTGAAAATGGAAAACAAATGGATAAATGAAAATATCTCCTGACAGAGTAGTTGACAAAAAAATTGAGCTCTTACTAATTAAGTTGAAATGATGTAAAAACACAAATTAGATAATTGAAAATAAATCAAATAGCTTACAAGAGGGAATGATGAGTTGTTTAGTTTTGGGTCCCTGTGCGTGAAGGGCGTCCAGGGACCTTGAATAGAAGGATTGTCTGTATGCATCATTTTACGAAGACGAAACTCCTCTCCATCATTCTGAGTTGTAGCTAAGTGCAACCATTTCTGAATTTCTTCACGGTTCATTTTGTGTGCTGATATCCAAAAATCTTTTCCATTACCTGAATAAATCAGGAGAGACATGAGTTATAGAAAGCTACGGATTCAAAATTTCATGCACATTTGACTTTTCATGATAGTATACATACAGTATTCCCCCTTAATAACAGATGATCGGTGTCTCCTAGGCTTGACATATACTACAACGCTTGGATGTTTAGTTGCAAAATCAACCAAATCATGCTCAAGAAAATCTCTAAAACAAAGACACAATGTTACATGTAAGTGCACTTTCAGTATACACCCTTTAAAACAGTAACAATCGAAAACATTTAAATCAATGCACAAGAGAACCAAAACAACAACAAGAACATTGTAGCGCTAAATAAATACAACTGAAAATACAAACGTAATTGAAGAAAATTAGATACGAACATGGAAGTAGAAGATACTAACCTCATACCCCTACTATCACCTCTTTCTTTGCAGAACTTTAAAGTTACTCTTTTCAATTGGCACATAAAACGCCCAACACCATTCCCAAGAGGGGCTCTTGGAAATCCAGATGGTAACAATAATTGTCTGTTTGCCATTATTTTTATTTAATGCTACAGAAATCTATGATGATCGTAACACCGAAGTAAACAAAACGGGAGCAGCAGTAGACAGAGACAGGACAGACCATCGAAGAAAAGACAAAAGACGAACGGAACGGAACACGGTGGAGAGAACCGGATGGATGCGTGATTTCTCATGAGGTTGAGCGCGGATGTTCAAACTAAAACGCTTAAAGAAAACGGTCGGTATTTTCAGCGGAGCTTGTCCAAGTCTGTTGGCATTTTAACACACTGGCTGCTGCCCTTATGATTGATCTCACAATCTTACGCATACATCAGTATACATGCTGGGAAATTTCTCCGCCTTCGTGTGAGACGGCAGCCGGCAAGAAGGAACGCGGAACGACCTGTCGAGCCTCCCCCCCCCCTCCTCCCCCCCTGTCCCTCGTCCCTCTCCCTCCTTCTCTCTCTTC